CATTGCGCGGCTTGAGATGACGTTTGGGAGGAGGTATTAATGATAATACTAATTAGCTATTAAACTATATAATAATCAAATGTGTGTGGATCATATCAAATACATCAATTATATCCTCTTACAATTTATCTAGAATCACGTATCTAGAATCGGAGATGTAATCAAACTAGGAATTTTCAATTAAAAGTAACCCATTATAACCTAGCAATACAAATTTATTAAGTCAACCGAAAAGTAATCTAAATCTTTCCTTGTCTTTCTTCCAAAAAAAAAAAATACATTCATTTATTAAACAAATCATACATTTTAATCAACTAAATACTGTACACCACTTTTCAAACACCTTTTACCACCATAGAAACAGTTCTTGGATTCTTGGATTATTCGACATATCATATGTCCGGCTATTGGGGACAACGTCCAGACAATCTGAACGCCAACCCTGGTCACGTCCGTGTCATAACTACTCGCAAAAACTCCACATGTTTCTTCCTTCCCGATGGAACAACATCTGCCAACATTCAATTTTATCCAAACCAAACAAACTGGACTTGCACCCCTTTCAAAACAAACGCTCCATATTTATTCTTACAGAAACTAGCTCCAGTGTCTTCTTCCCTACCAGTCTCCCCGATACATCTTTTTCTTTTTCTTTTTCTTATTTATACAAAATCTTCCCTACTTTCTTCACATCTTTCAACTTTCAACCATAAATCTTCCTTCGCATCATTCGCTTCGCATCATCCACCAAGCATCGTCCAATTGTCGTGCGTCCACTGTGCAATTCAGAAAACTATAATCATACCATACCTTTCAAATCACATTTATATTCACAAACATTTATCATACGCATACTTATTCTTCTTTAGGAATAGTTCATCAAAACTATCTTCATTTTCACTTCATTCAGCCAATTTTAACAGAAACCTTTTCTCATCACTAATTCTCACCAGTTCAAAAAAAAAATCATCTCACATTCTGATCGCAATCTCACCAATCTGTAATACAAAACAACCTTCACCATTCATCTATTCGATTAAACTCATCTTAATATTAATCATTGCAACATACCTGGCTAATGCATTTCCTAAACTGTCTGCATTTTTATTCATCTAAACTTCTTCTTGGTTCGTCCAACGCGAAAATTCCGTAATCTTTACAAAAAAAATCTCCGCTATGGCAAGTCTTGTAATTATAGAGGCTGGAACCTGAAATTAACATTCTAGAAATCAACCAATTTACTGTTTTCTGCTTAACGATACTTTACCCACCGTCCAGCACTCCAGCGACCCCTCTTAATAAATTT